GTGGGCGCGCTCGCGGCGAGCTGGGCGCCCTCGCGGCGAGGGGGGCGCCGCGCGTCCCGCTGGGCAGGTGCTGAGGGGCCCTGGTGGGAAAACACGTTGGCAGGGGGAAGTGAGAGTCTCGGTTTAGTCGTCAATTAAGGGAAGGGAATTTACTGCATCTCTCTAGGGCAGCGGAAAGTGGAGCAGAGCGTTAGGTTCACTGAGCATTAATGATCTACCCCTATTATGCTAAATTATTGTTTCCTGAGCCGCTGATCAAATACAATAGCTTTATTAAAGCCCAATTCAGCTGGAAAAAAAAAAAAAAAAGAAGAAGAAGAAGAAGAAGAAGAAAAAAGAAAAGAAAAAGAAAGTGCCTCTTTCCACCGCAGCGGCCCTGGTGAGCCATGCGAGGCTGGCGCCCTGGGGCAGCGCTGCCGTGCCCTATGGCGAGGGAAGCGGGACCAGGGCCATGGTGCCCCCCTGCCCCAGGGTCACACATCGCTGTCCACGTGGGGAGTTGGGCGCCTGGGAGCTCCTCCGGAGCGGGTACGAGCCTGGGGGAGCTCGGGGGCTCCTCCGGAGCAGGTACGAGGTGCTGGAAGTTCGGGGGCTCCTCTGGAGCGGGTATGAGGTGCTGGGAGCTCGGGGGCTCCTCCGGAGCAGGTACGAGGTGCTGGGAGCTTAGAGCAGGTAGGAGCCGCGTGAAGAGCCCAGCAAAGGCCGCCAAGGTGCCCCACATCCGCGCGGGGAGAGGGCAGCGAGCAGAGCTCCCCCCGGCCCTCCAAGGCGCTTGAACACGACCTGAGCTGGCTCCGAGTCTGTGCTCGCAGCAAGGAGCGAGCGCGGGCCGCAGTAATGCAGTCCCACGGGGGAAAGCTAATCCGGGGCAAAATGAGCCAATTTTGGTGCGAGTCTGTGGAGGCGATGCTGCATGCTTTAGACACAATTAAATGAAATAATTCTAGTGCAATCCTGTGGAGGCCACATCCAGCGTAATTACGACAGCTAAGCGATGTCCTTATGTAAGGACATTATTATGGCTACCACTGAAGTGAAGGGATGGGAGCCCACGGAAAAYAAACTGCATATAAAAATAAGGTTGGAATTAGGTTAAGGGAACRTTGTAAAACACTTTTGAAGCCCATATTTATTACGCAAAGTGCTCCTGCGAGCTGATGGCCTCTCACTGGTAGCTCGACCCTCCGCAGCGCATGGTTCCTGAGAGCCGAGAGCATGGTCTCATCTGCTGCTAAGAGGAAGACACAGGGCTGAAGTGTCGGCTCGGGAGGCCCCAGGGCGTGAGCTGCTGCTTGCTTACCCTGATCTTAATTCTTGTCCTAGACGGATGAGTAGCTTGACCCAGCCGGGTCATTTGGCTGCTCGTGGTACTCCCATGGCACTCTCCAGCGTTAATCTTCACACCACCCTTGCGCAGTATTTAAAATGCCATTACTTCTTATGCTGCATCTGCGGTATACACATTAAAATGACTTATCTGGGCCACCGCTCAAATCTGAGTGGKTTTGGATGGGAAATGGGAATGATCCAAGCATTTAGCTATACAGTGAGATGCTGAAACATCACATCCGTGGCCTTTTGGAGAACCTGAGTGGAAAGCGGGGGCAGGAGGTGAGGGGAGGCAAACAGAAGAGCTGCTGTCGCCCCCCAGCCGCACCGCTGCCCTGGGCTTGGYGGCGAAGCGCCGCTTTGGAACCGAGCTGGCGAAAGGTGCTCG